TTCAGAAATACTTCGGTATTTCAGAAATACTTCGGTATTTCAGAAATCATTGTACTGGTTGCATTTATGTAGAATGTGGAAATTGGTATCCTTTGGTATTCCTGCCTTGGTGATTGCATTAGGTTGAAAGGCCCTTGTTGTTACGAAGTTACAGCTTGCTGACCTTGGTTGGTTCTGGGGGCCAGTCAGAGGTCTTCATGGTTTGTGCATAAGTATTGGGGGTGGTCTTGATCATGAGGCGTGTGGTTTGGTTGTATCAGTGCAGTGGCTTGTTGCATTGTGGTGTCACACTGGTATTACGATGACGTGTGTCAGTAGATGAAATATAAAATTGGTTGGGTTTCTTTTTAAGGTGTTAAATGATTTGTCATTCTGGCCAAAGTTTTCTTTTGAATTAGAGTAGAACACTGGTGTACTCTTGGCCAAGTACAAATTGAAAGAAGCATCCCATGATGCACTTAAAAAGCATCCTTCCATGGATGTGTGAAATCTTGAATAACATAGTGCTACCAATGTAAAATCTGAGCAGAGTGAATGTTAAGTGATTCTTCAGAACATGCACTTAAACTTTACATGTATTAGATTTTTTCCAAATATTGGTATGCCTGATAGCCAATCATATCCTGACTTCAGAAAATGTTGTTACAGAGATAGTAGGAACTGCCGATGCTGGAGAATCCGAGATAACGAGGTGTGGAGCTGGATGAACGCAGCAGGCCAAGCAGCATCCGAGGAGATTCTGAAGAAGGGTCTAGACCTGAAATGTCAGCTTTCCTGCTCCTCTGATGCTGCTTGGCCTGCAGTGTTCATCCAGCTCTACACCTTGTTACCTCAAAATGTTGCACTGTGTTGGTTTCTGAAATTTAGTTACCGTATAGTAGTAGTTGCTATATGTGCAATTTTGAAGACATACCTTAACCCAAGAAAGTAGTAAGATTCTGGATCTTGCTGCCACAGTGGTTGCAGTGCGTAGTGTGAATATATTGGATCACGAGCCAAGTGTTTGAAGGAGATGTGAATACAGTAGGTGATTTTAGATGAGAAAAGGTGTGGCTCAAGTAGGGCATAAACGCCAGCATGAACTGGTTCAGCTAAATGGCTTGACTTTAGGTGCTATAACACTTTATTAATATTTTAATGGTAAATGTTTCATTTCCAGGTTCGCTTCCGATTCCGAGTCCTTGCAAGCATTGACAAGACTTTTTTCAACTGCTGAATCTTTTTTGCCTGATCAGTTTTTATGTACGATCCAGAGTTGCCATTTTCTGCCCAGGTCTTCTTCCAAGTGGTCATTAGTCATGTCAGTTTAGGTTGTGTGGGCAGCTTTGTAAGCCCTTGTTTAATACCCAGGTGTATCTTCCAGCAGATGTCATTGCTGTGTGCTGTTGGGAAGAAATAGGACTTTTTTTTTCCCTTTCACCCATATGCCCACATCTGGAAATAAACAGCCAAACTGGTTTAATGAGGTTGGGGTCACTCAAATTTCTGTTTGCAATCTATCCAGGTCTCTTTCAGTGACCGTGTTTTATTTTTTGGACAATGCAGTGATGAATTTGAACATGTCCTTGTTCTTTTTCCTTCTGATCTGCCTTGCCCTGATCAAGTCCAGCCTGTGGCTTCTGCTTGGTATTTTAGAACTTGTGCTAAATAAAGGTGTACTGTTACTAGTGTCTACTTCTTGGTTAAATGTTCATTGTTTTTATTCACAGCACAGGCCCGGCTAATTGCTGACCTTTGGGCACCTGTTGCTCCATTTGAGCAAAAGTCTGGCCGTGAAACCTGGACTGTGGCTTTTGCACCTGATGGCTCCTATTTTGCTTGGTCGCAAGGACATCGTGTAGTAAAGTTGGTTCCTTGGTCTCTGCATGAAAATAAGTAAGTACTCTTTTTCACTCTACAATTCCTTGGAAGTAGCCTCAAAACAAGTTCTGTAATTGAGAGTTGAGGTGTTGTCCTAAAACCTCATGCAATTGACAAGACATTCTCTCCTCCACAGAGCAGAAATCTTCCTTCGTGATTCTTCCCATTACTTGAATGATAGGTTTGCCTTTGATGTTTGACTGTGCGTGTTCTAATTCAATCTTGTTACCCAAGTCTGACTGAGAAGAATTGTCATCAGGTTGAAATAAATAATACTTACTTTGCTAGGTGGTATTGCCAGGCATGATCAGGCACCCTTACAAATGAAGTATTAGATGGAAGGAAGGAAAGAAAGGACATTTGTGGATTTGAATGGTGTCATTTCTAAGTTGAGGTAGTCACCTCGTGGTGAGATAATTATGGCACTAAGGAGTTGATTGATTGATTTCTTATGATCATTGAATACTGTATATCTTCCATAAACATGTTAGTTACTTGCATGAAAGTTGGTATTTATCAACAGCTACTAAATTGATACAAGGTAGCTTTGTATTACTTTGCTTGAGCCTAAATTTGTCTATATTCAATGTTCCTAAATAGGATCTTGTTTCACAAAGACAAAAAACCAAGGAAATAAGAAAAATAGTAGTAACTGGAAAAACTCTCCAGGTCTGGCAGCATCATGGAAGGAAGGCTGAGTTAACGCTTGGGTCCAGTGACCCTTCAGAACTCTGCACATATGCTGTCTGACGTGCTAAGTTCTTCTAGCAATTTGTTTTTGTTTCTTGTTTCTCATAGATTTAATTGTATTTACTGTTTTACTGTGTTGTCTTGCACTCAGTGTTACTGCACCAGCTTTTATGGAACAAAGATCTTTGTTGGTTTCACAAAGTGCTGTTTTGTTTTCTGGTCAGAAACTAATGGCAGTTAGATAATCAACTTTTTTGTGTTGTAACGTGCTTGTCAATAATTTAACTACTGATACAACAGCAGCAATTTGTTTGATTTATATTGATGCTGATGCAGCAGTTTGTATTAATAGTGGAGATGGCCCACAATCTATTCACATAGGAAAATTTGTTTGGTAAGCCATTAGTGTGACTTGGATTGTCATCAGGAAAGCTTTTAAAAACAACCCGTGATGTGTGCTAAATCATTTTTGTCTGGAAAATGATTAACATTTTAAATCTGGTAAATACAATTTTTTTAAACTTAGTATGCTGTTGCCCAATTGACAAACTTAGTGTGACACAGGTCATACTACATAGTTTCTGAGACCTGTTTACTGATATGTTTTTGTTTAATTTATAGCCTTGTATTGTCTCTTTGGAGTATTAGTCCTTTTAATTAATTTTAAACTTTATTCTTTCCAGAAGATTGTATAATGATGAGCATGATAATGCCGTCAATAAAATTCTCAGAAAGCAAAATGGTCACAGTCAGAAGAATCATCCAGAAGAGCGCACTATAGACTGTGGCGATATTGTGTGGGCCCTTGCTTTTGGCTCTTCTGTACCTGAGAAACAGAGTCGTTGTGTGAACATTGAATGGCACCGATTCAAATTTGGTCAGGACCAGCTACTGCTAGCAACTGGTTTGAGCAATGGGCGTATCAAAATTTGGGATGTCTACACAGGTAACAAAATTCTCTTAACTGATGATTAGCAACTTGATCAAGTTGGCAGTGTCATTTGGAATTGTGTAATTGTGAAAAGGATATGTGTCGTAGCCACTTTATAATGCCCACACATTACAATTTTTAAAAAAGTTTAATATTAGAGTGCAAGCCAGCTGAGTACCCCATTTTGCTGAAATCTTAAGTATCTGTTTCTTGAAGGCTGTGACTTTTAGTTTTTGGCAGGTGGAGGTGCCTAATATTGGACTATGTCAACTTGCCTTGCATTGGCAGGTGTTGTAAGACCTGCCATAATTACCATCTCACTGAGCACTGCCCAAATACTCCTTCCAGGTGATGAAGTTTACTTGCTTCTTTCTGGAATGCTCTTGTCACTACCCATTGGAGAAAACAAACAAACTGGGTAGCTGTAAAACATCTCATTCTGCAAATGTGGCCCGTCTGCTGTTGGGGCTAATTATTAAATGCCCAACCAGGTGAAAAGCCACAGATTGTATTTCGAGCATTAAACCATGCGTTGACTTAACATGTTATAAATACGTTAGCAAATATTCAGTCGGACACTTCTTTCCTCCTCTCATCTGGTTCAATTGCAAGTCTTCGTAAATAACCTTTTCACACATTGGAGAAATGTATTTGTGCACTTAATAAAGGAGGATGTGAATTATTCGAAGCGCTAATTTTTAACAAACGGAACAGCTACCTTTCGTTGAATTATTAACAGCCGCTTGTACGTCACCTGGTGCAGCACAAGTAAAGGAAAAGTGACAGATAACAAGTGATTTGTATGCTCCTAATTGTAAAACAAGGTTGTGGAAACTAAGCTTGAAATGGAAATCCTGTCTGAGAAGAGCAGAATTTCTTCAATGATCCTAATTCTTCATTGATTTGCAATGATTGAAGTTCATCTATCATAATAGGGCCTGTTTTATCTGTTTGTCTTGGATCCAAACTCTCTCTCATTGCACTTGGCTGTCAAATTCATTCTTGGTTAGTCTCATTTACATGACATTAATGATTTACGGTAACTTCTGAATTTCTTTAAGAACCTATTAGAAATTTAATATTAAAAGGATAGTACTCTAGTCGTTTGAGAGCCAGTAAACTGAGGGCCTACCTTGCCATTGACATTGAGCTCTGAAACTAGTCATTGCCTTAACTTGACCTTTCTAATGCATCAATATCTCCTCATGTTGCAGGTAGATTCCTTCTTAATTTGATGGATCATAATGAAGTTGTTCGGGATTTGACCTTTGCACCTGATGGCAGCCTTATCCTAGTGTCTGCATCAAGAGACAAAACTTTGAGAGTCTGGGATCTGAAGGATGATGGTACGTTTTTAAAATTACACCTACATCAATTTTGAGGGTTTTATTAACAGCTAGTCTTGGTCATGCTGATTTTGAGTAATCCTAAACTTAATAGAATGTTGGCCTTTAAATCATTGGGATTAGAATACCACCAGATGGCTTCAGTAGTTTGAATGGGTAAACTAGTTGGTTTTGAAAATTTTCTAAGGGATTCAGTAGGAAAGGTACGCCAACATTTTGCACTAATGCAGGGACTCCACATCAAGGGAGCATCTTTGTCATCTGCCAAACTCTGATGATACAGAAATTAGTGGTGTAGTGAACAGTGAAGCAGGTTACTTCAGAATACAATTGAACTTTGATCAGTTGCACCAAGGAGTGGCAGGTGGAGTTTTGGATAAATGTGAGGTGCTGCAAATCAGGGCAGGACTTTTGCTGGGAAAAGAGGCCGTTGGGTGCAGTTTCATAGTTCCTTGAAGGTGGAGTTGCAGGAAGACTGGATATATTTGCCTTTATTAGTTAGTGCATTGAGCATAGGAGTTGGGAGGTCATGTGGTTATACAGGACATTGGTTAGACCACTATTGGAATACTGTGTGTAGTTTTGGTCTCGCTGCTATAGGAAGGATGTTGTGAAATTTAAAGGGTTCAGAAAAGATTTACAAGAATGTTGCCATGGTTGGCAATTTTGAGCTATAGGGAGAGGCTGAATAGGCTGGGGCCATTTTCCACATATCACTGGAGGCTGAGCGGTGACCTTTATAGAGGTTTGTAAAATCATGAGTGCGGATAGGGTGAATATCCAAGGCTGTTTTCCTAGGGTAGGGGAGTGCAAAATTAGGGGGTGTACATTTAAGGGTATGGGAAATATTTAAAAGGGACCTAAGGGGCAACTTTTTCCACGCAGAGGGTGGTGTGAAAATGGAATGACCTGCCAGACGAGGTGGTGGCGGCTGGTACAATTAGAATATTGAAAAGGTATTTGGATGGGTATATGAATAGGAAGGGTTTAGAGGGATATGGGACTTGATTAATTCAGAGTATCTAGTTGGCATGGATGAGTTGGGCTGAAGGGCTTATTTCTGTGCTGTAGATTACTATTTTGATGGTAAAATGTAAAGCACCACAGAAGGCTTGAGGGGTAAGGTGCTGACCCTCAAAATGCAAGATGAATTCAAATTTGAAGTCTGGAGTCCTGAGTTTCTGCTCCGGTTATTGACGGAAATGGAATTGAGGTACTGAAAAACATAATGAGTTGGATTGATGGAGTGGACTCTGCTTGAATTACTTGCTACTTTACCCTAATCACTTTTTATAACACATTTTAACTTTAATTGCTGGCTACCCTGAGCTCAGCTAGGGAGCGGAATGTTGAGCAGGGTTTTTTCTTACTGTATGACTAATCAAGTGAAAGTATGTGTGCAACAAATGTTGACTAGCTAAACGTTTAAGAAAACTTAAATTGATTATGTATGTTGTATTTTCTTGTATCAGCATTGAAACGTTTTCATCAGAGCACGTACCTTTTGCCCTGAGAAAGGAAATCCCTGCTTCTTTGCTGACAAGCTTCTTAAATTAGACCACAAGATATCGGAGCAGAATTAGGGCATTTGGCCTGTCATGTCTGCTCTGCCATTCAGTCATGGCTGATAAGTTTCTCAACCCCATTCTCTCATTTACTCCCTATATCCCTTGACAATTCAGAACCTATCTAGCTCTGTCTTAAATATACTCAATGACCTGGCCTCCCAAACCACCTTTGGCAATGAATTCCACAGATTTTCCACTCTGGCTGAAGAAGTTTCTCCTCATCTCAGAGTAAAGAGAAGACCCTTTAGAATAAAGGGTCCTGGCCCCTCCTGCTATTGGGAACATTTTTCCAATGTCCATGCTATCCAGGCCTTTCGGTGTTCTTCAAATTTCAATTAGATTTCCCAATATCCTTCCAAACTCCATCGAGTGTAGACAGAGTCCTGAAACATTCCTCCTATGTTAAGCCTTTCATTCCTGGGAACGTTCTCGTGAACCTCCTACCTGAGACATGAGGTCCTAAATTGCTGTCAATACTCTAAATGTAGTCTGACCAGAGCCTTTTAAAACCTCAAGTACATCCCTGCTTTTGTATTCTAGTCCTCTTGAAGTAAATGCCAGCATTATATTTGCGTTCCTAACTACTGACTCAACCTGCATTTTTACCTTAAGAGAATCCTAGACTAGGACTCCCAGGTCCCTTTGCACTTCAGATTTCTGAATTTTCTCCCCATTTAGAAAATAGTCTATGCCTCTTCTTCCAACCAAAGTTACATGACTTTGCACTTTCCCACATTATATTCCATCTGCCACTTCTTTGCACACACTCCTAACCTACCCAAATCCTTCTGTAGCCTCCCCAACTCAATACTCCTGTCCCTTCACCTATCTTTGTATAATCTTCAAACTTAGCCAGACTGGCCTTGATTCCTTCACTTAGTTCATTAATGTAAAAATTGAAAAGTTGTGATCCTTGTGGAACACCACCAGTCACTGGCTGCCATCCTGAGAAGGACCCTTTTATCCCCATTCTGCTTTTCTGCCAAACAGCCAGTTTTCTATTTCTGCTGCTAACACCATGGGTGTTACATACCACCGAAACAGGTGGTTTACATTAGCAATTTTCCAGTCCTGTCGCACCCTTCCTGAAAGATCACTACTAACGCCTCCATTATCTTGTCAGCTACCTCTAAGAATTCTGGGGTGTAGTCTGTCTGGTCCAGGTGATTTATCCACATTTAGACCTTTTTGTAGCATCTCCTATTTGGTGATGGTCGTCATACTCCCCCTTGTCCCCCACTCCCGGCTATTGAATTTTTGGGATGTTACTTGTGTCTTCCACTGTCAAGACAGATGCAAAGTATGTGTTCAGTTCCTCCGCTGTTTTTGTTCTCCATTACTACTTGCCCAGCATCATTTTCCAGTGGCCCAATGTCCACTTTTGCCTCTCTTTTGCCCTTTATATATCTAAACAAATTCTTGAAATCTTCTTTTATTTGCTGGCTAGCTGACCCTCAGATTTAGTCTTCTCCCTCTTTTTTTTTTTTTCCTTTTTGTTGTCCTCTGTTGGTCTTTGTAGGCTTCCCATTGCCATTCATTGCATCATGTTTTCTCCTTTGCTTTTGTCCTATCTCTGACTTCCCTTGTCAGCCATGGTTGTCTTGTCCTCCCTTTAGTTTATTGCTGTTTCCTAGGGATGAATTTTTGCTGTGTCTCCCGAATTACTCCCAGAAACTCCTGCCATTGCTGTTCCTCTGTCTTTACCATTGGGCTCCTCTCCCAGTCTATTCTGGTCAGTTCCTCCCTCATGCCTCTGTAATTCACCTGTAATTCCATTACATCTGGTTCTAGCTTCCCGCTCAAATTGCAGAGTAAATTCTATCCTATTATGGCCACTGCCTCCTCAGGGTTCTTTCACTTTAAGCTCCCTTAACAAGTCTGCCTGATTGCACTTGACTAAATCCAGAATTGCCTGTTCCCCCATAGACTCCTCCACAACCTACTTCAAAAAGCCATCTTGTAGACATTCCACAAATTTCTTTTCTTGCAATCCACTACCAACCTGATTTTCCCAGTGCACCTGCATTTTGAAATCCCCCATGATTACAGTAACCTTCCCTTTCTTACATCAGGAGATAGAAAAGGTGTGTATCTTGTGCCACACATCCTGACTACTGTTTGGAGGCCTGTACATAACTTCCATTATGGTTTTTCAAACCTTTGCAGTTCCTCAACTCTACCCATACAGATTCTACATCATCTGACCCTATATCGTTTCTTGCTATTGATTTAATTTACTAATAGGGTGACCCCACCCCCTCTGTCCATCTGTCTGTTTTTTCAATAGCATGTATATCCTTGGATATTTAGCTCCCAGTCCTGATCGCCATGCAGCTATGTTTCCATGGTGCCCACCACATCATACCTGCCAATTTCTATCTGCGCCACAAGCTCATTTACCATATTTCGTACACTGCATTCATTCAGATACAACACTGTCCTGTATTTACCGTCCCTCTTCTCATTGTCATCCCTTTTATCCAGTTTGCTTGAAGTTTGATTCCTAACCCTTTCCAAACTCTGTCCTGTTTTGAGTTCCGGAGACTTTTAATAACCTCTCCTGAGTTCTCCTTTCTTCATTTTTTTTTTCATCCTTTTCCGTGCAGTTGAATCCATCCCCGCAGATGTTAACCTGCTTTGTTTCCCAATAGCCATCATATCTTTTTTTTTTTAAACACCTCCCAAAAAAATTTCTAGCTTAAAATCTATTAACCGCAGTGTTTACTGTTTTCGCTGGAACATTGGTCCCAGCTTGGTTCAGGTGGACACCGTCCCAACAGTACAGATCCCTCCTGTTCTAATATTGATGCCAGTGCCCCGTGAAAAGGGACCCCTCTCTCCTGCAACACTTTTTTAGCCACGTGCTTACTTCCCTTATTCTCATGTCCCTATGACAATTTGCATGTGGCTCGGGTACTAATCCAGAGGTTATAACCATTGAGGGTCTGTTCTTTAGTTTAGTTCATAGTTGCTGATAATCCCTATACAGGTCTTTCTTTCCTAGTCTTATCCATGTTGTTACCACCCCAAGACATGGTGACAAGCACCAAACTGCAATGTGATCAGGGTTTGGGGAGCAGATGGTGGTGTATGTTTCTTAGTTCTAATCTGTCTCCAGGTTGACCTTTGCCAGTGACACCCACCTCCCATGAGTGAATTAAAAAAATTTCCTGGTGCAGGAGCTGCACAGATGCTGTAATGAACGCACCAGCCGGTAGTTCTGAGGTCTCTGGTTCATTTCTTTAAAATTAGACTCTGTACATAATTTTGCATAGTTTTGAGTTTTGGGGCTGCCAACTGAAGTGTTTTGATATTTTAAAAACAAAGTTCCTTTCCTGTTTTGGGCTACAAAGATTTATTAGATTGCAAGATTGATCTGTTCTTCTAAGGAGCGAGTTGTGTATGACTCTTTTCTCTTGTATTGTACTGAGGAGCATGTGGATCGTTTGATTTATAATTTTTGTTTAGGCTGGACTATCTGAAGCATTAGGTTCAATGAGCTTTTTTTCTTTAACAGGCAATATGGTGACTGTACTGAGGGGACATCACAACTGGGTGTATTGCTGTGCCTTCTCTCCAGATTCAAATATTCTCTGCTCTGTTGGAGCTGGAAAAGCGGTATGTGTGCAAGTTCCTTTTTTGTTTTTGGGGGATAAAAGTCTTTTGATGCATTGATCAGAACCCTTATAAAATAGCATGCTTTAGACTCTCTAAATCGATTTGTTACTTCTAGAGTTAGAACTTGCTCGGTGTCATCAAAATATTTCTGTGCAAGTTATTGCATAATGTTGCAATGTGTTGGCGGGGGGGAAGATGTTCTAAACTTCTAACTTGGAATGTTAATTTCAAGCTTTAATGACGGTCTTAGTGTTATGCTAGTCTAGCCCTCTGGCTGTGTAATTAAGCATATAATGCCTATAATTGAGAAGTTACTAGAAGTTGCTTATATAAATAAGTTTCCAGCATCTTGCTGCAGAGCATGCATGCAGAATATGTTTGCAAATATCTTCCGGTTTGACTATTGGATGTGACTTCTTGTATGCACTGATTTGAATAAAAATTTGCTACTTCCTGGTTCTGAACCAGTAGTCGACTATTGTAATTTGGATACAGTACCTGTAAACATTCTATTTTCTAACTGTTGAAATAATTGCCATTAATAACTTGAACTGGGGATGAAGTCTTGAGGCTCATTTTTATTTCCTACATGGCTTGTTGCTAAGACCTAACAGAATATCTGCTGTGGTGGATTTTCTCCTTTCCCTCCAAAAAATGTAAATATCTGATCTTTTTACTTTCTGTCTAAATAAAAGGATAGATAAACCTGTTTTGGGGCCTGTGCCAGATCAGATAAGGATGAAGGGAGGCAGATTTTTGAAACTGGGTAATTAATAGATCTCTCACCTCAACATGAGCAATCCCCACACACCACCACACCTTGATTCTTCCAGTGCTTATTGAAGACTTGTGTCTGAGCAAGGTAATGTGTCAAGGTTTAAACTAAATCTTGGGGGTCAGATTCACTTGCATGGAAAAGTATGAAAAAACATTCAAGGTGCAGGGGGAGAACTCAGTGGAGGTTATTAAAGTTTCCAGAACAAGTAATAGGACAGAGGAAACGGTCGGGGATCTAACTTGAGTCGGAGCATATAAAGGGACAGCTATGAGAAGGGACGCAGTCAATGTGGGACTGGGTCTGTTGTATTGAAATACACATGGGAGACCATATGTTTTTTGGGAATAGCTTGTGGTATAGCCCATTTGGGAGCAGGTAATTCTGGATGTTGGGATGTGTAATGAGCAGACTTGATGGGGGTGTTCAAGGTAAGGGAACCTGTTGGGGATGTGGACCATAATATATAGAAAACACCCTGCAGTTTGAGGGGGAGAAGCTGGAATCAATGTAACAGTATTGCAATTTAGTAAAGGTAACTGCAAAGACACAAGGAGCTGGCCAGTGGAAAACATCAGCAGCACAACAACTTAAAGGCATAGGGCAGAGGTGAGTGTAGTGGCTCTCTAAGGAGAAGCTGAAAGCTCTGAAGAAGGATGAACCACCTGGACTAGGTAGTCTACAGCCTAGAGTTCTGAAGCAGATAGCTGAAGATGTTGTGGAGGCACTGGTGATCTTTCAGAAATCTTTGGAGTCAGGGAGGGTAACAGAGGACTGGCAAATGGCTGTAACACCCCTGTTTAAGAAGGAAGGGAGGCAGAAGACAGGAAACCATGGACCAGTTAGCCTGACCTCAGTCGTTGGTAAGATTTTAGTCCAATATTAAGGATGAGATTGCTGAGTACTTGGAAGAGCATGGTAAAATAGCGCTGAATCAGCATTGGCTTCATCAAGGGGAGTCGCACCTGTCAAATCTATTAGAATTCTTTTGAGGCGGTAATGAGTAAGTGGACATTATCTATTTGGATTTCCTGGTGAGCCTTGGACAAAGTGCTGCTCAAGGGGCTGCTAAATAAGGTAAGAGGTTTGGCTGACAGAATGTAGACTGTGGGGAGAAAGGGTCTTTTGCAGGATGGCAGCTGGTGACACGAGCAGTTCTGCAGGATTCAGTGTTGGGACTGCAACTATTCATGTTACATATTAACAGTGTGGATGAAGGAATGGAGAGCATTGCTGCAAAGTTTGCACATGTCACAAAGGTGGGTGGAGGGACAGGAACTGTTGAGGAAGCTGGGAGGCTGCAGAAGGATTGAACAGTTAGAATGTATTCCATCTGTAACCTGCCCAGTGTGGGAAAGTGAGATTTTTGCACTTTAGTGGGAAGAATAGAGATGTTACTATTTTCTAAACACAGGAAAAGGATTCAGCAATCTAAAACACCCAGGGATTTGCGAGTCCCAGTTGAGGATTCTCCTAAGGTGGGAAGCAAAACACGCAAGTTCAGTTGGCAGTTAGGAAAGCAATTGTGACATTAGCTTTCATTTCAAGAGGGCTAGAATGCAAGAACCGAGATCTACTGCTGAGACTGTATAAGGTTCTGGTCAGACTGCATTTGGAATATTGTGAGCAGTTCATTGCACTGTAGGAATTCTGGAATTCTACAATTCTGAAGCAGGCCATTTGGCCCATAAAGTCCACACCCACCCTTCAAAGAACATCCCACCCTAGATATTATGGACAATTTTTAGCATAGCCACTCCACCTAACCTGCACATCAATGGACTGAGGGCAAACTGGAGGAAACCCATGCAGACGTTGGGGGGAATGTGCAAACTCCACACAAGCAGTCGCCCGAGGCTGGAATCAAACCCAGGTCCCTGGTATTGTCAGGCAGCAGTGCTAACTACTGAGCCACTGATGTCCATAAACAAAGGCTGACACGGTCAGGAAACACTCATCTTGCTGAAACCCAGGATTGAATCAGGGACCTTTAGATCTTCAGTCGCACGCTGTCCCAACTGAGATACTTCGGCTGGCCCTGTACCTAAGAAATGATGTGCTATGTTGGAGGGGGTCCAGAGGAGTTTTACAAGAATGATCCTGGAACACAAGGGCTTGTCATATAAGGAGTGGTTCAGGATTATGGGTCTGTTGTACTTGATGAAACATAGAAGGATGAGGAGGGATCTCATTGAAATTTAGAACACTGAGAGGCCTGAATAGAGTGGATGTGAAGATGTTTCCATTAGTTGGAGAAACTCCAATCCAAAGGCACAGCCTCAAAGTGAAGGCACGACCCTTTAGAATTGAGATGAGGAATTTCTTTAGCCAAAAAGTGCTCCGTCTGTGAATCTCCTTGCCTCCATAGCCTTCTGCAGCAACGTCAATAAGTGTCTTTAAGATTGTGGTTGTTTTGATTATTAAGGGCATCAAGGATTACAACAAAGGCAGTGTGATGAGGTTGAGAAACATACCAGCTGTGATCAAACTGTGGAGCAAACTCAATGGGCCAAATGACCTAACTCTACTATATTTATGGTCTTAAGGTCAAAGTGTCCAAGAGCTTCATTGCTTAGATCACTTCCAAATTGTATTAATTTTTGCACTCCAATAAATGACAGTTGTAACTGTCACTGATTATGCACACATTGTAAAATTATCAAAGCATGTTGCCAGGGAAACTCAGATCTGGCAGCATCTGTGGAGAGAAAGCAGAGTCAACGTTTGAAGTCTGGTGACCCTCCTCCAGACTGTAGAATTAAATTGACTAACTAGACCATGGGGTGAGGAGGCTAAGATCAGATCAGGTGCACTTCATCTAACGCTTGCACAACTTGTTAGTGACCAGGGAAAACATTTTTGTGCACTGACTCAAGTTAATTTCATCTTTGCTTTGTTATTTTTCAACAGTCCAATTTTTCAGTCCAATTTAAAAGCTTTTGAAAACTGAGAATGATTGATTGGATGCTCCTCCTTTTAAGATTTAGTTTGCATTTTGCTTTATTTATTATTGCTTCATTATTTTTCCAAATGTTGGATTTCTGCTTGACAAAATGTCCACCTGTTGTATAAATGCATATTTTTGATGTAATTTTTGCAGTTGTGCACCTTTTTCGTTCTCTATATTTTTGTGGTATTATTCAGTATCACACGATTACATACATGTCAAAAGATGCCTCAATTTTGAAGAGCTTCCAAAATCCAATAGTCAAACTGAACTCTGAATGATACAGGCAGTAGATTAGTGTATCTTAAAGCTGTGGAACACCAGTTCATATTTCAGGATTTTGTTATTAAGAACAGAAAGCTAACAAGTTAAACTGACTCAAAACCTACAATTGTATTCAGTTTTCTAGACCTTATACAGTAAAAGGTAAACTTTTTTAAACTTTTATTCAGTGCAGCATGAAGTAATGTCAAAGTGCTGTTTTTAAAATCTTTCTGGATCTCTGCTTATTTTAAATGACTTCCTGAAATGTAAACTTTGATTCTGCATCTTTGGCAATTGGCTCCTTTTAAAGGAGATTTGAGTATAGTTTTTTTAAGTTTTGTATCAATTCTAATGGACTACAGCTTTGTAAATCTACATTACTAGCTAGAAGTATCTCAAACTTTAAATTGTTAATCTTGAAGTCCTTTAAAAGGTTGTGTTTACAACATTGCAATCAAGTAACTTTACTAAGCTTTTGTATTTGTCATTGTCATTGACATTGCCCAAGAATATAGAGACCTCAAGAATTTGAAATTTCTCAGTTAATGTTTCTAAACTGATGGTTTCCTTCCACCCACCAAAAAAATTTTAAAATTTATGTTTAAAACATGTGTATGCAAGCACTCGTATTTGAGTAGCTTGTTTAACTACATTTTAATGTTGGGAGCCCAAAGAGTGGGCTTTTTAGCCGCAAGGGATATTTTAACTAGTCCAGTTTCTGGTGGTCCAGTTTTTTTTTTGTATACGTATAGTCCTGCTGTACCCTTGAATAAGGTCATGTCTGATCTGTTTTTCTTGTCTTGCATATTCCTATTGGTCTTTCTCTCCTTATCACTTTTTAAATTCTCCCTACTTGGGCAAGCAACCTCACATTTTCCCATATTATCCTCCATCTGCCAGTCTGGACTCTTTCAATCAATCTGTCTGAAACCTTCTTTGTCTTCACAGCATACTTATCTTTTTGTCATCTGCAAAGTTAGCTACTCTCTTTGCTTTCCTCATCTTTGAGTTGATTTCGGAATCCATAATTGTTAAAATTAGGAGTTTCACTGTTTGGAGAGCTGAATGGCTTTCTTCTGTGCTGTTAGCACTGCTTTGGTTCTACTTTTTTTTTCCCATCTTCCTTTCCATAAACCCCTTTTTTTAAGAAAAAGAACAGTCAAGGTCACTTGTGTTGGCCCTTTCCAAACTGCAGCAAGTGAAATCTGGACTTTGGTCTAATGGCTCACTTTCTTACTAAGTAGTGCACTTCTACACTCAGCTATTGGAGGAGCCCCATTTAATAAATTGCATATTTGTTATATTTCTGGTTTATCTTTGCTTTCTTTGCCTTAAGTAGTGGCAGTTAAGTCAATCTACTTTAAATTTAGGACTTGCCTGTCCAGTTGTGCTGCACAAAAGGTGCAGAAAGAAGGACATTGGCAGTGGTAGTAGCTGTGCAGAAAGGAAGCATCTCTTGAGTGCAAGGTACATTATTGTTCATAAAGTAAGACATAAGCAGGTTTATGCCTTTTTTTATTTTTAGCAAAATTGTACGCCTCCTAGTTTGGCAGATTGTGCCAAGTTTGACTCTTATTTAAAACTACCTGGCTGGGATCTTGATGTCATTTCTTGGCAGCTACAACTTCCCTATAACTTTTCAAGTGAATGGGAGAAACTGTTAACTGGCAAGAATATGACCAGCAAACCCAGTCTGTTTTCAGTGACTGTAGTAAATTTTTGTAGGACATGTAATTTTCAAACACTATCTCTATTGTGACTTACATTGGACTGTAGTCATCTTTCAAAGCCAGAAATGTGAATTGGCCATTTCTTTTTGTTCATGGATATGTTATGGATAGCGACATACTACTGAACATTTTAACAGAAATATTTAACCTTTTCCCCCATTTTACTAAGTATTTTTTTCCTCTTTAGATCTCCCGCAGCATGTACCATTCCTGGCAGAGGGTGGGCAGGCGATCTGCTCCCTGGCCTCTGACAATGTTACCAGAAGGTGTGTGAGAGCAGCCCAGGATAACTTCCTTGGTTTTTGCTTTTTTTCCTCCCTCTTCCTCCTCATTGGGAGGGACTTGACTTCAGCTTGGTTCTTCCCCCCCCAGACAGCCCGGGTAAGATCGGGAATGCTGCGTGGGCAATCACAAATGTGAACCTATGTCGTTGAATTCCCATTGGAGCACCAGTCTGCTGCACCACTGGGCTACCTACTACAAATACTGTTTTAAATATGCAGTGTGTTTGGTAGAGTTTTTATTTCTATTTGCAGAAAACCTAAAAATGTGCAAAGCTGTAGAGTTGGTCATCTGGGTTCTATAGTTTGGAGATGAAGTAAGTCTGCTGTTCTACTTTCTGCTATCCATTACGTCCTCTTAGAGACCAAATTATTGAGCCTAAACTGCACTGGTGGGTTGATAAATTTGTCCACTGAGTAGCTGCTTTGTGCCAAGGATTCCATGTATGATACTTGGTCTGTTATATTTTCAGTCAGGGCAGCGTTAAGCCTGCTGTACTGGTCTTGCCATCGGAGAGATGAGTGGGCGAACATTGGTCAAGAGTCTTGCCTTTGGTTGCAGCTCTGTCAATAAGCGTGCATGTATTGAGTTCAGTGAAGACAGAATTGTGTTCCGCTGTGATATATTCCAGCGTGTTAACACTTGTTTGTCTAGATAAGCTGTTGAGCGGTTACTTTGGCATGCAACTGGAGGGTACCCAGTGTCTTAAACTCTCCTGGCATAAGTCACATTTCAGGAGCGAAAGTTGTAGAGTGGAAGGAATCCTATTTTAGTTTGTGACCACTTTAGTAATTTCTTATTTTTGAAGATGTGAAAGTTGACTATTTTACACGGTGTGCGAAAGTAGAAAGAGAAAAACTGAAAATAGCAATGCTTTATTTAAATCAAATTGAAATTCTGACCATTTGCATAACTCCATAATTAACTTGCATAGATTTTGAAATCGCATGCATTACTTATTTTAGTGTTTTATCTTTGTAACTTCAGTTTTTAAATACTTTCTGCAGACGGTTATTTTGAGTGGCCAAAGGGCAATTAAGGTTATTAGTGTACTAAATTGACCTCGTATCTATTGTTTGGGTTGAAGTCTGGATCATTAAGACAACTTAGGCACATGTATCTGACCTTAATTTGTATCTTTAAAACTCTCTAATTTGCAATGATATTGGAACAAAAATCCTTCCTGAACCTTAGACACAAGACTATGCAATTTTGTATGGTATTGCCATAACTTTGTGTGCTGCCATGTTTTTACAGTAGTGGAGAAAACTCTGCTTTTGTTTTTGTGTTAAATGATTTCCATATGTCTGTAAGGACAAGGTCAGATTGGTTCCATGCTGATGGAAAGGGGTCCAAGTTGTGATTGGATTACTGTTCGAGTGGAATTAGGGAATATCTATGCTCTGTGACTAATGGAGGGATATGTGACCCAGTAGGCCTGTGGAAAAATGAAGTTCAGTTTATATGCCCATAAAAAAATTGCATATATGACTATCATATACGTTCTACAAAGTTTGTCTGTAATTGAATCATCTGGTTAATGTGCTGTCGTAATTAATGTATCCCAAAATGTAATTTTGAAGCCTCAGTTTTGTGCTGTTTGCCAAAGGATTGTTCCTTTAGGCCGTCAAACATGTTCTTTTCTCTTGCAGTATCTGCTGTTTCATAGGCTCTCGCTCCTGATGAAAACGTTTTGTAAACACACGTGAACTTTAACTCTGAATGGAGGTTCCGTTGGAGTAACAAAATGTTATGCTTAAGTTACCTGTACTGTATTTTTCTACATTTTTGTTTCTGAAGTGTTAAATTTCGATTGGAAGATGTAATTTTTAAAACTTGTAAAATTGTTTAAATTATTTAAGCATCCTTTGTGGGTGTTGGATATGTTATTTAGAATATATAGTTATAGCTGGCATGTTTGTAAATATTGCTTCTTAAAATTTTTAGTTGCAGTAATGACACTGAGCATATCAATTTTGGAAGTACTGTATAATTTGAACTAATTGTTTGCAAATTTATACTGTAACTGTTACGGATTATAAATTAACTAGATCTTGTTTGGGAAGATTAACCATAAACTGGAGCTGTAAATTGCAATTTTCTCATTGCAGGTTTTTCTTTGGAACATGGAAAGCTACACCATGATGCGTAAACTTGAAGGTCACCTTAATGATGTGGTATCATGTGAATTCTCTCCTGATGGAGCATTGTTGTCTACAGCCTCATATGATACACGAGTTATTGTCTGGGATCCACATACAGGCAGTATTTTGTTGGAGCTGGGGTAAGTGACCACAGCAACCTTTGTCAATAATGGGTGATGCAACTGGTTTAAGAACAATGACCAGTTTGAATTTCTTTTCCCCATCATGGCCTGGAGTGATGATTCATGTTGGGGGGGTCTGGTATTCATGGGCTTCCACTTCACAAAATGTGTAAATTTCCCTACCACTTATGAAATTTATTGGAGAAGATTTTTAAGGGCAAGATTTACACACATTTGGGAAAGAATGCACTTATTAGTGGCGGTCAGCATGACTTTGTGCAGGGAGGTCTTGTCTCAGATCTGACTTTTTTGAGGAAGTGACAAAGACGTTTGAGGGCAAGGCTGTGGATGTAGTCTACATACACTTTACTAAAACATTTGACAAAGTGTCTCTTGGGCTGGTCCAGAACATTAAGCCACATGAGATCCCCAGTGAATTAAAGTTGGATGCTAAATTGTTTTGGTCATGGACAGATGGTAGTTGTGGAGGGGTATTTTACTGATTGAAAGTTTTCAGTCAGTGGTATTCCACAGGGATCAGTGTTCGGAGGTGAAAGGACCTCTGTTTGTAATATGGATGAGAATGTAGTTGTTCTGATTTGCAGGTGATGCAAAAATTGGGGGAGTTGTAGGTAGTGAGGAAGGTTTGTCCATCCATCAAGATATAGATCATTTGGATATTTGGGCAGAAATGGCAAATAGAGTTTGATCCAGACAAGTGATAGGTAATACACTTTGGGAGGTCAAATGCAAGAGGAAAGTATACAGTAAATGGCCTTATGAGTATTGACAGAGAGGGATCTTGGGATAAGAGTCCATTGCTCCCTGAATTTGGCAATGTAAGTGAATAAGGTGGTTATGGTGTATAGCATGCTTCCATGCATAGGTTAGTGCATAAAGTATAAAATTGGCAGCTATAGAAAACCTTGGGCCACATTTGGAGTATTATGTGCAGTTTTAGTTGCGACACTGTACGAAGGATGTTAAAGATTTTGAGAGGGTGCAAAAGAGGCTTACCAGGATGTTGCCTGGATTGGAGTGTTTTACCTATAAGGAGAGGTTGGGACAAAATTGGATTGTTATAGGCTAGAGTGTCAGAGGCTGAGAGGCAATCTGACAGATTACATAAAATTATAAGAAGCATGGATAGGGTGGGTACTGAGTCTTTTTCCAAGTGTGGAAATGTCAGATACAAGGGAATTTGTGTTTAAGGTGAGAGGGAGAAGGTGTAAAAGAGGTATGCCGTGCAGGGATTTTGGAGGGGTGGTGGGCTGGTAGGGTGCTTGGAACATCGTGCCAGGGCAGGTAGTAGAAGCTGATATGATAGCAACTTTTAAGAAGCATTTAGACAGACGTAAACAGGCAGGGAATAGAAGGATATGGACTACATGCGGGCAGATGGGATTAGTTTAGAATGGCATCTTGGTGCAGGCATGGTAGTTGAAGGACCTGTTCCGGTGCCATACAGTTCTGTGTTCTCTGTAATTCTGAACTTGGTTTCAGAATGCTAAGAAGTGTGTTAGTGTCACAGCACTGCAATTCATGTTTGTTTCTAATTTGTTCATGGATTTTGAGTGTTGCTGACAAGCTAGCTAGCATTTTTTACCTGGAAAAAGTGATGGGGAGATGTCTTTGTGAAATCCTGCAGAACTGTAGAATAAACCTGTAGATGGTGCTTGCTTTTACACTTTTTTAATATTATGCTGTTACTTTAATGCACTTCATTTCAGATTTGTAGGATATGAACAAACTACAGAAAATAGATTTGTGTAGGTCACTATTCAAATAGAGGTGAGAAATTAAATTATTGACTTGGCTTCAGGAAGAGTTGATGCCTTTGTACTTGCTAAGCAACTTGTGCAACAATCTGAATTATCAATTCTTGTTAACAATAGCCACTAATTAGACTTTTATCTCAGAAGAATGTGTAAAGTGTATTCATCTGTTGGATCCTGTGGATGTAAACTTTTGTTATTTTGCAAACAAAGGTTTGTGTTCCACTTAAAGTTTCTGCCATCAAAACATTTCAGCTTTATCATTTGGGAGCCGAGGTTTTTGGGGTCAGGGAGAGGAAAGAGTAAGTAGTTGGTTTTATAATGGGATTTTAAAACTTTGTAAAGCTTTTCAGTATCTTGCATTTTTTCTAACAATTGCAGCTTTAAACCTAGTTTGAATACTTCATCCAGAGGTTTCACACTGTCTGGAAGTGTAATACAGTGCATGCCTTTTGATTTGTAAATGGGGAAAGTTAGGATATTTTCATTAATTGGACTTTTTCACTTCTGCCTTTGCAGGCATCTCTTTCCACCTCCAACTCCAATATTTGCTGGTGGAGCAAATGATCGCTGGGTGAAATCTGTTGCCTTTTGCCACGATGGTTTGCACATTGCTAGTGTTGCTGATGATAAGTAAGTGGATATTAAATATTTTGAGCAGTAGAATTTCCCCTCTGGGAGAATGCTAATGATGCCAGATTTGGGGTGTTGAAGTCAGCAGCAGTGAATACGGGAAGGAAGAGCTCATTTTGACGTTTCCTAGTTCTGCCTACAAGGGGCTTGACTCTTCTGATTGGCTGTTCCCATGTATTTTGTGTGCTGGAGCAAGAATATATTACAGTAATACACAGCTGTACCACTTTTGCTTCTGTGCCACATGCTTTGATCTCTCTCTCAAAGATGTGTGCTCATTGTGTTTGTTTTGGTTGATGAAATCCAGTCACTTGGAATAATTTATTATTTGTATTGGAGTTGGATTCAACAGCAGTACTTTAACTTTCAAAAGTTACTATGATTTGTTTTTCTGTACTAAATATATCTTTTTATGGTTTTAAAATTTAGAAGGGAAGTAATCTTGGATCACGAATATTTGTTTTAAAATGTTAAAGGGAATTTACATGGGTTGCACCCAAGATTTAGGTTTTATTTAATTTTATAAACCTGATTGAGAAGCTCCAGAAAAGACAACTTGCCGAGCAGATGAAAATAGCCCATAGATTTTGTTTGGGTATGATACTGCAATTGAAAACCTTTTTTTTTCAAAGCCTGAAAACAGCATGTTGCATCAGTGTTGCCAGTTGGAAAGTAAAATTTTTCTTGTATACTCCAAATGTATTCAATGGGATTAAACTAACTTTGATCCCTTGGATAAATTCTGATCAATCATATTAACTACTATCCAGTTGCTTCTGAAATGCCTGCTGTATAACTCTTGATTTGGAATAATTCTAATTGGACAATGTTGTCTGCTAAATTTTTGCAAGCTTTGCAGAACTGTCATCTTCATGTATAGTGGCTCATTCAGGACTGATGAGAAATTTCTCGTGGATCTATATTTGTTAGCCTTCTGCTGCTCCTAAATACATGTTAGACTAATTGTATGAACTGACTGATATTGTTCATTTCAGAATGGTGAGATTCTGGCGGATTGATAAAGATTGCCCAGCAGAGGTTGCTCCTTTAAGTAATGGCCTATGTTGTGCCTTTTCTCCAGATGGTAGTGTTCTAGCTACCGGGTAGGTATATTATAATGACCTTTCATGATGCTTGGAGTCTGTTCAATGTGTGATGCTGAGAGTTCAAAATCAGTTTTCACATGAGGTTTGCAGTCGAAGACATTGGACTCAACGTTAACTGTTGTCCTCCACGGGTGCTACCAGACATTGAGTTTCTTCAGCATTTTTGGTTTCAGATTTCTCGTGTCTGTAGTATTTCCTTTTAAGAATTAAAGGTATCTGAAATAAAGAAGTGAGGCTTCAGGTGGACTGTTGGTCCTGAATCTTTTACAGAGGTTGTCCAGTTTATTGAATTCTGATTTGAGAAAATTGGGTTTCCTGTATTACTAGTTTCATTTTCAACGAAGTGAGAATGGACACCAATAGCCAATTTTGTAGATGAGGTTTGTTTTGCTGACAGTATTGCCAAGTAAGTTGGAAGGTGATCGCTCCTATGTCTCTGCCACTGTCACACTCTTCAGTGCCCTGTTTAATGGCTCCACTGTTCCCTACACAATAACTAGTATTGAATGTCCAGACTACTTTTTGAAACCATCTTTAGTCCTTAATAACAGTCATAATACTCTTGTGCTTCTGAGGCACTCAAATCGTCTTCGCTGCATAATGATTATTGGTATGAAATAGGTTTACACAAGATTGCTAACTCGATCGTCATTCTATCCAAATCTGCCCTTGCTCTCTTTTATGGTGTTGATGTCTGAACTCTTTACAAAAGTGCATAAAATGTTCAAGTTGGTGACCTTGGATCAAAAATTAACCCTACATTTGCTTCGCTTTTCTCTCCCAAGGACGCAAGATGGTAGTGTTTACTTCTGGGCTACTCCCAATCATGTCCCCAGTCTTCAGCATCTCTGTCGTATGGCTCTGCGAAGAGTAATAGTTACCACTTCTGTTGAGAACCTGCTTATCCCACCAAAGATAGTTGAATATCTAACTTACCGCATAAACTGACCATTTGGAGCTGCATAACTTCAGAAGGCTATGGCGTATGTTGCCTTTGTTGTTTAGATGTAGACAAACGGGTGCATTTTCATGCCTTTGTAAGCCAAGCTTTCGTTTGGAGCCTGGTCAGTTCATACAGATTTTTTTCTGTAAAAACTGTGTACATTCTGTAAACCTGTACTATTATATATAAATATCAGCTTGTACCATAGCTATTTTCTATTCTGTTCTTGGTCCAATTTTTTTGTTCCTGTACATAAATGTGTTATGGTGTTTTGTAAATGTATTTTTTGGAAAAGGCCTATAGGGTTTGGTTGATATTCAATATTGTCTGCAACTCAAAGGAAAAAAAAAACTGTCATGTCAACTGCCAAAGACTTGTTTTTATAAGCTAGCATTTACAAATGCAGACAAAAGCTGCGTTTCATTTAAATGTGAATTTATTTCTGTTCATCTATTAAAGAGAAGTTGAGTTTTATCTTTGGCATTTTTATTAAATAGCAATTTTTGCTGCTGTCATATCATGTACCTGTAAGTTTACAATTAATTCCAAATGAGATGACCCACCTTTATCTTGCTTTGGCTGACAATCATCATACTCATGGCAAATTCTGTGGATAACTGAAATCAAAGCCAACTTTAATTATCAAAGAATCAATCTATCAAAACTTCAGTTTTATGTATTCAGATGAATACTTTTGTCATTACAAATGTTATGTGCCCCTGAGATTAGACCCAGTAAAGCTATGGATGTAAAGTGGGAGGCATTTCAATAGATTATGTTTTAACATTGAGCCATAGCTCAAAATTTGCATATGTGGAGTTATTCATTTCTTAAGAGTTGCTGTGATCACTTGAATGTTATGCCAATAAAATTAGAATTGGGTCACCTGGGCCTAATCAAGGAATCAACCCATCTCCCTTGAGTTTTAGGCAGGTAATTTGCTAGGTATACACCTCAAACAGAATTTGAGACCAAACCTCTAACTTTCCAGCACGAGTCCCAATGTGACTGCCTTGATATTGGCAGTGCTCTGATCAGTTACTTGAATGGAACCATTTGAAATGCTTGTGGGTGTAGTGTCTGTGTACAGATTTTTAGTATTTGCACTTGGCATGTATCAAAGTATTTTGTTCTCTATTTTACCCAGCTTGTTTTAAATTATGAAACACTTGAAAACCGGATTTCTCAATGTGCTAATTTCTCAATATAACTTGAGGACTTTAGAAATGCTTTGGAGATGGAAGTAATGTGTGACATGATTTGGTGGATTGGCATGCTTAATTGTCCCTAGTGCTCAGGAATGTGCAGGCAAGGTCAATTAGCCATAGGAAATAGGGTTACAGGTTCTACAAACAGCACTGCCTGGATAGACCTGTTGTTTCAGCCCACTTCTGCCCCATGGAACTAATGTGTTCCTACTTTGACTCCTCCTTTCCTCCCCTGGTCCAGTCCCTGCCCATGTACATCTATGATTCCACTGACGTTTTACACTAGTTTTGAAATTTTGTTTGCAGGCTCCAGCTGCCACTTTACCATCAACATGTAATCCCTTTTACACACCCATCCCCCACCAGGATGGTCTCGGGGCTCTCTGCTTTCTCCTAGAGCAAAGGCCTGAGCTGTCCCCACCCCCCACTTGTCCACTTAGAGGAGCTCGTCCTCATCCTCGGCAACTTCTCTCACTTTCTTCAGGTCAGAGGAATGCCCTTGGGCCCAGATTATGCCTGTCTCTTTGTGGGGTATGTGAACCTTTCTTGTTTCAGTCCTATTCCAGACCCTGTCCAAAACACACTTCTTCTCTGATATGTTGATGATATCATCGGTGTTGCTTCCCTTTCTTGTTCAGAATCTGAAGTTTATATCTTTTGCTTCCAATTTCGACCCTGCCTTCACTTTCACCTGGTCTGTCTCTGACATCTCCCCTTCCTCAACATCTCTGCTTCCGTTTCTGGGGATAGACTGGCCACTAATATCCTCTATGAACCTACCAACTCCCATAACTACCTGGACTGTACATTCTTGCACCCTGCTTCCTGTAAAGACTCTATCCTGTCTCCCAGTTCCTCTGCCTCTGTTGCACATTATACAATGTGGTCAACTTTGAAAAGGGAGCCTCTGAAATGTCCACTTTCTTCCTCAACTGAGGATTCCCCAACACTATTGCCAATAGGGCCGTCAACTGGGTCTTGACCCATCTCCCACACTTCTGCCTTCTTCCCCCCCACCCCGGCTCCTTCCAAGAGCAATCCTACCAGCATCTACGTCTGGAAGATCATCAGCTGCTATTTCTATCACCTCCTATCAGAGACACACCCCTCCCCTCCCCTCCCTTGTCTGCCTACTGCAGGGACCATTTTCCTCTGCATACTTCCTTCACCCCCAACAAACCCTTATGGCACCTTCCTCTACAAACACCATAGGTGTAACACTTGCCCATTTACTTACTCCATATTCATGCATACCTTCCAGGTGAAACAGCGCTTCACACAATCTAATCTAATCTGCATTCGCTGCGCAAAGTGAACTTCTCTACATTGGGGAAACAAAGCGTAGACTGGTTGACCGCTTCACAGAACACTTGTGTTCAGTCACAAAGAAAAATACCGAGCCTCCAGTTGCCTGCCACTTTACCACATCCTGTTCCCTGTTCGACATCTGTCTCTGGCTTACTGTGGTGTTCCAGTGAAGGTCAACGCAAGCTGGAAGAACACCAGAAATAACAAGGTGTAGAGCTGGATGAACACAGCAGGCCAAGCAGCATCAGAGGAGCAGGAAGGCTGACGTTTCAGGCTGGAAGAACACCACCTCATTTTGCATTTGCGGACCCTACAGCCTTCCGACTTGATATTGAGTTCAATTGTTTTTGGTCCTGAATTCTCCCATATCCTAGACCCCCACCCCTCGCATCAGGCCCTGTTATCACATAGTTAGTTAGCCACTAACAGTCTCCATTAATACCTATTTCCCCCTTTTAGCCAGATTGTTATCTACTCCTTTGTTCGACTGTTCTCTCTTTAGCCTCTATCCCCACCTATTATTTACTCCTTACCCTTTACCCCCACCCTGTCTTTTGTATTTAAACTGACATTTTCCTAGCTAGCATCAGTTGTGAGGAAGGGTCACTGGAACCGAAATGTTAATTCTGACTTTTCTTCAACAATGCTGCCAGACCTGCTGAGCTTTCCTAGCAACTTCTGTTTTTGTTTCTGATTTACAGTATCCACAGTTCTTTCAGTTTTTAATGGAATGTTTGTTTATTGTGAACAATGGAGTACAGAAGTCAGGAGGGTATGCTTCAGTTGTAGAGCACACTAATGAGCTCCTATCTGGAGTACTGTGCATTGTGTTGATCGACTTATTTTCGGAAGGAGTAAGTGCATCATAGGTAATTCAGAGAGGGTCTACCAGACTTAATATCTGGAATGGGAGGATTGTATTGTAAAGAAAAGTTGGACAAGCTAGACTTGTATTGACTGGAGTTTAGAAGAATTAGGTGTGAGTGATTGAAACATATATGCTGAGGGGTATCGACAGGGTGTACGTGGAGAGGATGCTTCCTCATACAAGAATTTAGAGCAAGGGATCTAAGTTTAAAAATCAGGACCACCCACGTAAACAGATTTGGCTGGAACAGGGCGTCTCTATAACTGTAGCCTCCTCAACGAGTGTACCCAATGTTAATTTACCCAGGCACCTTCGCATGTATCAGGAAAGGACTACAGAGCATGAGTGCAGTCTGTGAACCAGGTCACAACTTTATTTAAGGACAACAAAGGTTAAGAGTTAAACTTTATACTTGTAACAACTCTGTTTCTAACTATCCAATTCTTTAGAAACTTCAAATACTTCCCAGATATTCGTAACTTTTGCTGGAACGTCAAATTGTTTGATCTGTTCCTCTCTTCACGGGTTGATTCTCTGGTCAAAGGGCAAGTTGCTGTAGTTTACTGTTGTATCCCGATATACCCCTAGGTAAACTAGAGAGTAGGGGTACCCCAAGTCCTGCCGGGCTAGGTTCTTATACCTGCCTGGTTGCCTCCTGGAACTTGACAATCAGAGGTATCGAACTAATTGGCTTTAAACCTTGAAATGCTGATAATGGTTCTCAAGCGCTTGCTTAACAGCGACTCCTTTGATGTGTCTGCTCTTGGGCCTGGAAATCTGGTTTCATCCCAGAATATAACACCTGGTCTTTTGTCTTACTGAGGCACGTCTGCCCCATGCATCTAGTGTTATTTGTTTGTCAGGAAGGGTTGAATTGCCCTTTCACACTTCCTGATGTGTTCTGGTGCCTCTCTGGTTTCAATTGTCTGGGCTTGGATCTTGCATGGACTTGTCCCTAGCAGAATTGTCTCTTGTGTCTGTCTTGGCTCAAGCATTCCCAGCATACGTTGCTATTTGGCTAATTTTGATGCCCTATTTATTTCAGGTGCTGTGCCTGTAGTTCTGACCACCCTTCTTAATGATGTTTATTTCCCTTGAGCAGTCGCGAGCTGCTATGTCCCTCCTCTTGAACAAAACAAAACATTAGCGAACCTTGTTCACTGTAAAAGTACAAAGCTAAAGTAGGCCTGTCATGGAGTGGATATACTGTAAAGGTAACCTTTGGAGCACGCCAGTATGAATGTGGATCAGATCCTTAAATGTGCATGCAAATTAAAGTGGTAAAAGTCCAGCATGTTTACATGTTACATACAGCAGTAAACTGTTGTGACATTGCACATTACTGTATTTCAGTATACATAAGGGAAATCACTGTGTGGTAAACATCATCCAGAATTAAAAATACTCAACAATGCAGGAAGGAATACATAAGTAATGCATATGTACATAAAAGAAAACAGAAGGTTACTGGGATGTTCTCTGTGTCCTTTGGATCTCTAACTCAGGCATGTGTATTGTCCCTGGTGATTGTGTCGAGTTGTTGGGATATCTGTATTTTCCAACTGATCCCAAGAGTTTTCACTGTGACATACACTAGAGTAAATGTGATGATTACAACAGCCAGATGAGAGAGGAGACGGATCAATGGATGGATATGAATATTTGTGCCCCAGTTCCAAAAGTCATCCCGCCAATTAGTAAGCTTAATTTCATTTATTTCATACTGTAACTTTTTGGTATGTTGTACCATGCAAGTGAAACTTTGGTGGGCACTTGATAATTATGTTCCGACCTCATCTAGCTCCTCTGGTAGGAATTTTATCCCAGTGTCATATTTCTCAAAGGATTTTCAGAGAGAATCTCTCAGTTCATTAGTAGTATTGATGAGTGTCACTGGTCTCTGACATGTGTCAGTTAACTCTATTAAGCCTATGCATGCAGGAATGTGGGGATTGAAACAAAAGATGGTATCTATAATGTTGCGGATGGAATCCCCATACTGATAGCTATCAAGTGAGGTTATTACACAGTTCTGATCACCACCAAATGGATGTGGATGCTTTGGAGAGGGTGCAGAGGGGGTTCACCAG